CATCTCGTTTATGAATTTATAAGATTGTTATAGTTGTGGCATTTGTCGGGTATTTGTCATCTTGTCGGTTCCAGCGGTGGGGAATTTGTCAGAAAACCTCTGCCCGGGGGTGAAGCATTTGTCAGTTCTTCTAGAAGCAGTTAACAATCATCATTCCAGTCCTTTATCAATATTTCACATTATGTGCATATTTATATGCCTATTTAGATAGCTATAGATATTTCTAATATGTAGATTGAGCCAGGGCTAAAAGTGAAGCCTCTGATTCATTTATATGCTTGTAATAATAAGCAGTTAAATTTAAGCTAATAAACTCTAAGCCACTAAAAGGAAATCTTTAATTCCCCACTTGAGCACCGTATGAGAGAGGGGTTAAATGATGAACAAAATATAACCTGCAAACACACCTGGAATTAAAAAACTCTCCCAGTAGGTTATAAAAGGCGTATTCAGCGCAAAAAATCACAAAAAAATACTAAAAATCACGGTGCATCGAGATCAATCACAATAGTCCACAATGTATATCAATGCAGATAGAAAGTGTAAACAACACATCAAACTTCATTTAAGCGGTATTCAGGGCACGAGTTATCAAAAAACGTAGCACACTGCAAAATTATTGAATGGCAAGTAATGACACAAAACAAAACAAGACCCCCATAATGGGGGTACATTGGTCTGCCGGCTTGCGTGACAATTTGTCATGCTGCAGCAAAATTACATCCTAGCCTACCACGTAGATGTTCTTGGGTCGTTGTGATGTATTTCTTCCCCATTGCTTAACGAGTCGAAAGAAAGTATGTGTGGGAGGCTAAAATTGTCCCCCTTTTTTTAAAATTCTAGTCTTGGTATAAGAAAGTATAAGAGATTTGCCATGCCTTCACAGTCTGTTCGAATAGTACTGCCCCTACAAAATATTAGCCAGTGAAAGTATAACCACGGCCTCTGAAGATCCCTGAAGAAGTTGTAAGGAAAAGATAGAGGAACCTGTTGTGACAAATGCCTGGGGATGTACCTTGGATACCAGAGGTTTTTTGTTGCGTGTGGTGATTGAGTGGTATTGATAAAGACTTGACCAAACCGGACAAGGCGCGTGAAAAGTCTCCTGCACTTAGGGGAGGGCGATGGACATGAATACAGACGTTTGTTTGTAAAAACATGATAAAAGAAAGCAGAGCTGTTGGTCCAGACTGAAACTTTGCCTATTAGTTTTTCGAAATGCCAAATTTTGTGTATTAAAAATTCAATACTCTTCTTTCCCGTGTTTTCCAAATCTTGGATAAATTAAATAACATCATTCAAGTTCATGGAATGTCTTCACAACTGTCCTGCGGGGGAGGGCGGTACTCCTGAGAATTCTTGGTGAGGGTGTTCCGCACGGTTCTTTAAATCCTGATCCTATTTCAAACCAAAAATGTCATTTTTCACACCCATTTTCAGACCTGGCCCCTAAGAAATTTATGTCATCACTTATACTTAGATTAGAGCAGCAACAAAAAATACGTATACATATATAATCTTTGTCTTTTTTTCTTACTCATTTGGAATTGAAACGAACAATTCGTTTATACACTCTGGTAGTTCCCTTGAAAACCATAGCCGATTCCAGACCAAAATGGGCAAAGTCTATACCAGTTTTCAGACCAGAATGATGCAAAACCATCCCCTTTGGGGCCGCACATACATTGTACCTATAATAAATTTATTATGGCTTATGTAAGGGAGTACTCCCCCCAGTGACAACTGTAAAGATCCATAAAGTGAAAGACCCCAGAATATTGACATGAATGCATGCTTCACGCTTGATTTGCTGTCTGCTAAAACATGGGTTTCATCGCGTCAGAAAAGAAAAATGTAAAAAAAAAAAAAAAGATTAAAAAACTATTTGTCCTCAAGTCGTTTCTTTTTGTCCTCTTCCGAAGGCCTTGAATGAAGAAAATTTGTCTGCTAAGACCCGAGAGCTGAGGCTGAAGTTTGTATTGAAGCTTGTATGTTTTTATTTGATTTTGATCACCAGCAAATCTTTGATACGGCAATGCCGAACACTAGTCATGCCAGTAATAATAAAGAACTCTGAAGTTTTTTGTCACTTGTACAATGATCCTAAATGGGATTCAATTCACTCAGATTCCTAGCCCTAATCATTAAACTTAAGAGTAATTTGCTGTTTGGTGTTCAAACAATATTGTTTTGTTCCCCTAGTATAAATTGTATCTGAAATGACCCACCCCTTTTCCTCAAAAATCAGACAACGCAGGGGAGGGGGGAGGGGGACGGGATTAAATCTGATCTGTCCGCCATTTTGTTGTTTTGCTGCATAGACAAGGCAGCCTCCATTTTTTGATTGGGCATTGCCCTGAAGGGCAGCTCAATAATGAATAACAAATCAATCATGTCAATGGAACATGTACAACAACTACAGTTGAGTTTTATACAAGAAAAGAGAGTAGCCCGTCTGACCTTTTTCTAAAAATCTCCAGTATCGCGTACCCAGTGCAGCGGACACGGGGTGGTGTGCACTGGAGATCGGGAAGTGTCAACCATAGTATAGAATTCAACAGCACAAGTTGACTCAACAGCATTTAATACGATCACCAACTCGTCTGAATTATTGTACACATGCGGTGAAAACTAAAAAGGGAAATTGCAATGTACAGGATCAAAAAATGGGCTAAGACTAATTACAAAAGAAGCAAAATTGAAAGGAAAACGAAAAGTAAATACAATAAGCTGAAACTTACGTCTGATCCTGTCTAAAAGGCTAAACAAACTCCAAGGTTAGGTAACTCCGAAAAAGATAAAACTGATCTGAAAACTCCAATGTTGCTCCGTAGATCTCCTAACTCCGACTCCACAAAAACTTAAAGGGCGTTCTCTGATAATCGTACAATTCACGTGTACAGTTGTAAAACCGGTTAAAAAACAGGAATGGCTAGCTACGTAATTGATTCAAAGTGTGAACAATAGTACACGACAATAGGGGCGTAAAAACTCGATAAATGAAACAGAACAGAAACGTATCTTATCTAAATCAAAACAAAACTAAGCTTAATTACGTAATCAAGTTCTCTTTGATTGAATGTTCATTGGTCATCACATCCAGTCTGTAAATCTAATGATCGCGTTTTGAGCTTATGTTTAATATGAATGGACAATCCACAGATAAATTATTTGTTGAAAATTTTTATTAAAAAACCTATGTTTTTTATCGTTAAAAGCAATTTAACACTAATAGAATCGTGGATCCGTTTACGCAAGTAAAATCAGACCGAGCACATGGTTAAATTCAACATAGCAGTAATGAATCCATTCCAAATAGTACACTGTACCTTGTATTTTCCTTAAGGTATTCATAATTCTTCATTTCACCCCAGCTCTTTTTGTTTTCACAATTGCAATTGCTGATCGTTCGGCTGGTTCCATTTGACCACTATCATAGTGGAAAGTGCACTTAGTTTATCCAGCTAGTTTACAAGCACTCCACTCAGCTACTTAGAAACAAATAATTTTATTTAAGTACAGCATAACAGGATTAAAACCCACCAACTGGTAGGAGGCAACCAGTATATTGGCAATGACCAGTCGGCCATGCTGCCTGCTTTAAAGCCACTTATGGATGCTAGTGGTTATATGCTTCTGATTCTAGCAGTAATTTCCAATGGGGAGATCTACAGGGTGTTGTCCATTAAGAAAATTTCCACAAATCTTAGTCCGAAACCTATTGGAATGCTTTGGTGAAACTACAGATTAGGAAATTGAAGTTTTAGAAAACTTGCTCACCTTTGAAGGACTGGACCATTTTTATCTTTTAAATGGGATCAGTCCACTTATATTTTACCATTACTGGGGTGAAAAGTGTTGTTCAAGCACATGACAATGAATATTTTTTTTGGTATATATACTAAAACTCCGAGATAATTGAGCACAAAAATGATGATTTTCAACTATTTATTGCTGTCAATGATTTCAATTTTGGCACAAATAACCGGTTGGCTGTCATGTTTTCTTGCCAACAAAAGAAAACTTTCGAGGGTATTTGTTTAGCTCTTGTGGGGACATTCCTTCAAAAAAGTTGTGAATTCTTTCTGTATACAAAACTGTTCTGTGAAAAGCCCATTAATTGAGTTTTATCCTTACTTATGAACACTTGTAGGAATTAAACACACAATATTGCAGTAATAATCATGATTTTTCTGTACATTATGCAGCTGCTTGAAATAATGACTGCAGCAGATTCCATGGCAGAATAAAAAAACCCTTGGTTGGTTTTTCAGCCCAACCTGTATTCAGGGGACTCTAGCTTCAGTCCTGAAGTTGTTCCCTGAATAGAGTTTCCACTGTATCATTAATCTTTTTGGTCATAACAGAGCCCAGTACTTTCTTAATCTTGAGGCAATAGTCAGATGATCCCTAGTCTGGGAGAGGATGGTTTAGCCTGTAATGAATGCATTAACTTAGTGTGAGGCACTTTTCTTTCATCCTGTAGTCCCTTTGTATTATAATACAGAATTGTGACAGATGTGATTGATTACACGTGTGTTGTAGGCAATGGCATCTACGTCAAAGCGTTCTCAAGAGCATGAACTGGCTGTTGGCTTCAACAAAGTTCGAGTCACCATTTTGGCTTCAGAATGGGAGTCAAGCAAAGGAGAGCTCTCCACCATAAGCAGAGAATTAGCCATACAGCTGACAAAACTGACTGAGGTGGAAGTCACTGTCCTTTTACTAAGATGTAGAGAAGAGCAATGTTAAGATTGTTGAGGCGAAAAGGCATCCTGGCTTTGATGAACTGGACTGGCTCAGCTTTCCACCAAAAGATTTGCAAATTGACGTAATAGTCGGTCATGGGGTCAAACTTGGTCATCAGGCCCAAGTCATTAAAGACTTGAAAAAAGCAAATGGGTTCAAGTGGTACACACTGATCCAGAAGAACTAGGAATGTACAAGTCATACAGCAACCCGATTTCTAAGGGCGAAGGATTGAAGTGGAACTGTGCGAAATGGCAGATTTTGTTGTGGGGATTGGGCCCAAGTTGAGCGAGGCGTTCAGGTCATATCTTCGAAGCTGTCACAAAGAGCAAAATGTTGTTGATTTTACCCCAGGTGTTTTTGATGAATTTAAAAGTGTAAAACAAAGTCCTGAAGAAAGAAAACACTGCAGCGTCTTGGTGTTTGGCCGTGGAGACAATGAAGACTTTGAATTAAAAGGATTTGATATCACCGCAAGAGCTGTTGCTTCACTGCCCGGCACTCGTCTTGTGTTTGTTGGGTCCCCAGATGGGAAGCGTGAGGAAATAAAAGAGATGTTGACGAAATGCGGTGTTCCTGCTAAAAGCTTGAGGGTGAGAGGTTTTGTTCAGAGCCGGGATGATTTGAAACGCTTGTTCCTTGAAGTTGACCTTGTACTTATGCCTTCAAGAACGGAGGGATTTGGGCTGACAGGACTTGAGGCCCTATCAGCAGGTCTTCCTGTACTTGTCAGTAGCAACTCAGGTTTTGGTGAAGCACTGAGCAAGGTGCCATTTGGCTCATCATCTGTGATTGATTCAGAGGATCCTGAAGTGTGGGCTGCAGCAATGAAAAAGGTATGGGGCAAAGACAGAGAGGGGCGTTTGGATGAGGCTGAAACCCTGCGCACCTCCTATGACAGGAAATACAGCTGGGCCAACCAGAGCAGAGATCTTCTTGGCAAGATGATCAGCCTACTTAATGGTATGACATTTAGCTACCTTGTGGTAGAAGTTGTTTAGTAGATACAATTACGATCGATTTTGTCAATGAGAGTATGAATTAAGCCGTCAGATATCTTATTTTTTACCGAAAAAAATCACCATTAATTATTAACTATTTATATAAATAGATGACCCACGACCCATGACCACCCAAGAATCGACTGAACGTTTAAGGTAACGCTTAGTTGCTAGGCCTTAGTATTTGGCTAACCCGTCTCATACTTGGATTGTATGAAATTTGGCATCTTTGAGACCAAGAGAACTTTGTGTCTTTATTATAGGAGTAGGTATTGTATGAAGTTTGGCATTAGAGGGACTAAAGGAACTGTCTGTAATTGAGAGGTATCCGGAAGGGGAGGTTTGACTGTATAAGCTCTAGAAACCTTAGAAAAGATAAGCAATAACAATTTTCTTTTCTGCTTTACTAAAGCCATAAAAGTTGATTACTTTAATGTTATGTTTGCATTAACAGGTAACTCGGATATAAATACCAGTCTTCAGGAACGATTTGCAGGCGCCAGCCCTGGGGAGGCGTCTTTACAAGACGCGCGCACTCTGAAGTCTTTGAAGTTGGATGACCAACACAAAGTGCAAGAAGGTTCAACAGAAGTGGAAGCTGAGAGGCAGAACTCTGCTGTCCATCAAATCAGTTATGGTAATAAGAAGATTGTCCCTATTTACAATGAAAAGTGTATGAAGTTTAACGGAACAACGCGCTTTTGGGTCCCAATTCTAAACTGTTGTTTTTCGCATGATTTGTTACCTCAGTTTTAGGAGGATCGAGACCCACCCGTGCAGCGCAGGATACTGGTCACAGACATAAGAAAGGCGTTATTTTAGCTTTACCATGTGGAGGATAATTTTCTTCGTTTTTCTTTTTTATGCAGAGATCGCCAACTGTGAAGCAGACATCGCTTTCTTTTCCGGGCGTCATCATAAAGATACTAGACAGTGGCTGTTTGACGATTTTGACAAATGGTTCATTGATCCTGGCGACTCCAGAGCTTACGTTCTCCTCGGTGATGCAGGAGTCGGTAAGAGTGTGATAGCAGGAGCTCTGGCGCAGCGTATGAAGAAAGCTAGGCGTCTTGGTGCTGTCTACTTTTGCCGTCATTATGATGGCACAAGAAATGATCCAAGAAATCTTCTTGGTACTATAGCCTGTCAACTCTGTAATTGTAATAGACAGTACAGTAAAATAATGGGAGGGGAGGATGGTGTAAGAATAATGTTAGCTAATTCTAATTTAAGGGGTTCAGGAACTATGTACTAAATTACTAGAAGAGCCACTGAGTAAGTGCAGTCCATTTCAGCGCAAACTAGTCATTATTGACGCTCTAGACGAGATAGATTGCAAGTCCGGGAAAGATTTCATTTGTCTTATTAAAGAGCGTTTCCCCCGGCTCCCAGAATGGCTCGTGTCCTTTATCACCAGTCGCCCTGAAGACATGTTACAGAGCAGATTGGCGAAGTACAACCCGTGTGTTAGAATTTGCACGGGAAATAGTGAACAGCGCACTCTTTACAATCAGCAGCATGAACAGGACATTCAGCGATTTTTAGAAAAAAGTGTAAATTTTTCCCGTCTTCCTTGTTCGGTGCAAGACGTCACACGGAGGTGTAACGGACTGTTCTTATTTGCTTTTTACATTGCGCAAGAACTTAACGATTCATTACATTCAGGTAAGATTGATCAATTCTGCGACCTTTTGCCAGGGGATATTGAAGACTTTTTTGAAACGAATTTAAAACGTGTTTACGATAAAGTGGGAGCAGATCTGTATGGTAAGTTATTAGGTTGTATCATGAATGCGCCAACTGCGCTTCCCGTATCGTTTGTTTCGTTTGTTCTTCACAAAGAAAAGTCAAGTCTTAATGAGCAAAAGGTTATCGACACCGTTTCCCAATTTGTGGTGATGCAAGAGAGGGTTTCTTTTCTTCACAGTCTGATTCCAGCTTGGTTAACAAACAAGAGAAAAGCTCAAGAGTTGTATATTGACCCAAAAGAGGCAGGTGGTTACCTCACTGAAATTGTTAAGGAAATTCTTTCTGCCTTTGTTGGCGAACCAAGACTGAAGTTAGATCACGTTGAGAGGGATTTACAGAGCTTTGCTCTTCATTTTGCTTTTCATTTGTTGTGCCAACATGCCGAAAAGGACTCTTTGGAGCTTGTGTTCTAGAGCTTAACAAGTTATCGTTTCTTGGAGGAAAGGATTAGTAGTGAAAGATTTGGAATTTACCATCTACTTAAAGATTTTCAACGTGCAGCCATCTGCATTGCTGTCGAGGAGAGAGAAAAACAGAATATCTTGCAGGAGATTTCCTTCGCTATCGAAAGTGATGTGCATGTTCTGGCAGGAAGTCCTCACCTGTTGCGGTCATGTATACGAAACTCCTCAGATGTTGTGCAAGAAAATGTTTTGATCCCTCAAGCGTCGTTGCCTTGGTTTGAGTGGAATTTTTTCGACTTTCCTGGAGTCGACATTCTTTCTGGATGTAACTGTTTTGCCACAGCTTCTGATAAGGAGACTGTGGTTGGTGCAAAGGGTCGCTCGCTCTTCTTTTTTAATGTATCTATGCTTCAAATTGTAAGTGGACCTTTTGAAATTAGTGAAGATACGATTGCAAAAATCAACCATTTGGAGTTTTCTTCGGACGGATCGACAAGTGGTTTTCTGTTGAAAGAGGATGTGTAGAGGACTTTTCTCAGTTCGTAGGAAACGTCTTAAATTATCAGTGGGGTTTGATTACTCCAAACGAAAATTGCATTGTTGTAAAAACGAATGTTTTGCTTTTTTCCTTCAATGTGTGAACGTGGGTGTTGTCTTAAAGAGTTGCTGGCTCTGTGGGCCGGGAAAGAGATTGAAAACAGCGGCGAAGAGGAAATGACCTGCTCTTTTGGTGAGCTATCGAATGGAATAGCTGGAATCGATGTCATAGGTAGGCATGCGAGATACTTAATGGAATATCTCGGTGTTGACAGTCGTATCAAAATCATGTGATGTTTGTACCAGACAATTCTTCTTGTTATTGTTGTTGCAAGTTGAAGGAACTAACAGAATCAAGCCCTGAATTATCCCTGTCAACCATTCGTCAGCTTATTATCGAACTGTACCCTCGGCTATTCCGATATCAGGTTTGGAATCTGCAGTCTGGGCAACCCCTGCTACACAATGTATTTAACCAGGGTGCTCAATTAAACCCGTTCGAGTATTTTTGCCACGTCACTGGTGCCTTTGATGAGTGGGGAGCGGCAACAAAGTGGTCTGGGGTCGTCAAAGCTGTGTCAGTTTGTAACATTGCTGTCGTTAATGCTGTTTCCTTTTTGCTTAAACTGGAGCTTGAACGTTTTTTTAATGGCCAACTGCCAAAGATATCGGAGCCCGACTGGAAGCGGATGATTTCAGGAGAAAACGAACGCTATACGATGTACGTGCAGGCGTATGTGAAGAACCTGAGAGAGAAAGTCATTTTTGCCGTGTATTCGTCTTCCGGAAATTCGCTACATGCTCTATGCCTTCAAACAGGCAAGGTTTTCACGAGTGTGTCAGGATGTAACTTTGTACTGTTCAAAAAAGAAAAACAAGTTGGTTACTTGTTTCGGAGAGATGTTGAGAAAAGGGCCGTCATTTTGAAAATTTGTTTAGTCCTTTCCAATTTTTTCGATGGCTTAGAGAAGCCTGTGGCAGCGATGTTCAGTTCAAGCCATACTGTTACGTGTATAAGTTCCGACTCAGTCGTCGCGTTTTGGAATTTTCGGGATGATTATGACATTGCTTTCCACGTCACTTCGAATTTCCCTTTGCCATTTTCTCCTCCCGCACAAGCGTCCTATGAAACGAGTAAATACGTTTTTTCGCCTGATGGAGAATTTATTGCCTTTCAGCAACAAAACAAGATAATGCTACACTGTGTTGCAGAATCTAATCAACTTGTACAACAACTTCCTTGTACAATTTTTGAAACTGAGTGTGGTGGCATGGATGCGCGTTTGAAATTTTCTGCTGATAGTAGCCTACTTTTCGTTTGTATTCAAGACAACTTTGAGGGCCCACTTTTCTATGTATGGGATTTTAAAAGGAAATCAATGTCAGAGTCATTTAAATCACCAGGACCGCCGACTGTGGATTGTTTTTGCCTTTCTCCGGACTTAAATAACCTCATATTGTGTGGTGGTTGTTACTAAATTGAGATCTGGGATTTCAAAAAGCATCCTCGCTGCTTACTGAAAAAAATGGAAGTCGAGGGATTTTACAACCCAGTAGTTTAGTCAGTGCAACGTTTCATTGGACAATGAGCTGCTTGTTTGCTGTATCGCGAACCTAATATATGTCTACAATCTCCCGCTGTCTCATAGTAAAATCCATTCCTCCAGGCGAATTCTACGTGGCCATGTCGGTAAAATTGAATTCTGTAGGTTTTTAAAAGTGAATCGTTACCTTATTACGTATGCAATTGATGGAATGGTTTTTCTCTGGGATGTTACTGAGTCGAAAGCTATTGGATTCGTAAGGATTGCACAAGGTCAGGAAAAAATCACAAGCATGGCCGTTTCGCCCGAAGAGGACAGAGTTGTCTGCTTTTTATCCTCAAATCGAGTATGTGTTATACATCTCTACAAACTGGAGTCTGCTATGTGTAATAAATTTTCCATGGAGTTGACAAAAAGTAAAGAAAAAGCGACTGAGTCAAGAATATATCTGGCAGAGCGAAACCCTTCAACTTCCAACATTCCAACCGCCTTTGCTGAAGATTACAAGTCCGAAGCTTCCAGCAGTTCCGATTCGGAAGAAAGTTTCTTCACGGATAACGATTTTTACGAGTTTTCCGAGTCCGACTAACGTTCTGTTTCCCTTTGAAACATGTTTAGAGGCATGCAGCTCCATGCAGTGGTCATCTGCCACTGTTACTTGTCCCGGATCTCGCTGCACTCGATTCAAATGTTATTATCATTCGATGCAAATTTTTCTTCCTTTTCATTGGCCGAGAGCCCACCACGTGACCTGCAAATAACTGCAGACAAATAATGATCTGCTCATGCGCAATGTCGTCCAACTGTGTATGGTTGCAAATAATATTCCGCTCATGCGTAAATGAAACCACGCTTTTCTCCTTCCTGTGATCACTCGTGCGTGAAAATGTCAGATCGCTTCCAATCTATGAGTTTATTTATTGAAAATAAACTCGGTGATCGAATGATAAAACGCTTATTGAACTCGGTTATCGCAAATATCGTAGTTTTTCAGTGTGTCGCAGATCAATTGTTTGCCTCAGCGTTCGTCTTCGGCAAATAAGTGACCTGCTCCTCACTGAGCCACAATCTCTCTTCGACAGAATGGAGCGAAACGAATGCAGCCCAAAAAAGACTTGCGCCATAATTCACTGTGCAGATTTCCCATGTAAAGTTCTTAGTTATAATTCTTTGAAAATGTTGTAAATATGTAACAATTGTTGTTTTGGATTCCCTAGCTACTTCACGAGAGTAAAGTTTTCTTCTTCCTAAGAGAGTATAGCTCTCCCAAGACGCATTTCCAGTTGTTCTCAAAGAATGACTATTTTTTTAAACTTTTTTTCGCTTTTGTGTTTCATATTGAAGTTTTATTAAGTGATGATGAAAACATTTTGCTTTAACTCATCCTCAGTTAATTTGAAAAGTCGATACAGTACAGTTTGAATCCTAATCCTAAATCCTCAGCAGAATCCTTCTTGGACTTTATCTTTGGTTTCGTTGGTTATGAGGTAGAGTCGTCTCGTCTGAATATGTTTTGCTATGGCCTGCACTTCTTTTCCTGGCTCAAAGTTTGTGTTAGTCTCAGTGACTAACTGTATTGTACGCTGTCATAATATTACAATAAAAACGTTGATCAGATATCAACAGTAATAAAAAAATTAGTTGAAATTGAAAAAATATACAAGTAATTCGAAGTAATGGTACAACAGTGCATGAATCGTTTTCACATTACGTCACGGCAGACATCTTGGTGTTCCAAAACAAAGAAACGGCGGCCATGTTGGAACACACAGAATATCCTGAGAAAATTTTTAAAGCTCTTTTCTCATGTTAAAACTTCCTTTGTTGCAGTTTATCATCTTGGTAAAAACGATCCGTACTATGTTTCTAGTAGTGTTCAGAAGTTCATCTGTTTGATGATGAGTTAATTTTAACTAAAAGCTTCTGCAATTTTTGTTTTGGCATTTCCAAATGAAATTCCCAGGGGAACTTGATGACCCTTTGTCTTTTCATAAACTATGCGTACATATGTAAGTCAGTTCTCTGGAGTATTATCACATTACCTGCGTTGAAAAAACAAAACCTGCAAACTTTAGAGGTCTACTGTGGGCGTCCTGTAAAATGGCAAGTAGCTAAGTGGAGTTTCCCGTTAAGTAAAGTGTTACTATAACTAACACCTTACCTTTCGTGTAAAGTTGAGGGAGCTGATGTAGCCTGTTCCGGGCTCCGAGATAGTCAGGTCCGCTGAATTGAGAAAGCGCAATTAAACACGAAAATAAAACGGGAGGAATCTGGGGAGAGCAGAGGCAGCGGAGCCTGCTTCCTTTTTCTTTTTTTCCCGCCCCGCCAACTTTTCGCGTGCCTTTTTCTTTCGCGTCTTCCCCACTATCTGAGAGCCTGGAACAGGCTAGAGCTGATGGGAATTATAGATTTTTAAAATAATTATAGATTATTAAAATAAGCTTTACGAGTGTAGAAAGTAAAGCCTGGTTTCCACGGATCGCTGCGATTGATACGATTAGTGGAAAACGTCCAGAAACAAGAACGATCGAAGTGACTTTATGGAAATATGTGTACTTCCCTCAAACTGTAACCAAAGTTATCGATTGCGTGATAAATGCCATGACGATTTGATAAATCGTCATGGAAAATATCACTGATTAGAGATATAAGCTTTCAGCGTGTAATACTTCAGTGCGATATTTTACGGTGCAATATATTATTTTACTACTGAAATGAAAGTTTAAAAATCTTTTTGCAATTTTTTTTACTTTGTGTCAAAGAAGTATAAGGAGTTCCTTTTTTCTAAGCTGGTTTGTTTTCACCAGACACGTGTCACTGTTTAGTCATGCAATACAGGTCGATTTAGATGCCTTTGTATTTTTTCACGTATAATATATATTTTCAGATAAAACAGTGAGTTTGGCTTGTTAGCCACACTGTAGCAATTTAACATGCAAAATAAAACTTGTCATGTTTAGAAAGATTCATTGTTATCTTGTGCATTTTAAGTCAACCTCGGATTTTCCTCATGAGCGACGAAGACCAAACCAAAGAACATCGAGTTCATTGAAGTTTAGGCATGTTTAGGGGCACGTGAGGGAGGAAAGTATTTACATAGAAAAACTTTGGTTTTTTTGTGCTGAGGCGGGACTAACACCGCAAAATAGCAATCAAAATACAAGATTCAAGTACTTTTCCACCCTAAAATCCCCTATTTGTGAAAATTTGAAAAAAGCCAGCGAGTAATATAGCAGGAATGTTTGAGTCTTTTTGGGAGGAGGATTACGTAACCGTTAACATCTAAGTTTTTTGTCTTGATGACCTTAATCACATAAACATACTACGGGCCAGGGGGGCTGCAGCCCCCCAAAATTTTGGGCAACTCATTTTTTTTGGGCACAAGAGAAAATTGAGCAAAGCCAGTTTTTAAAGATGTTTCCATGTTTTTTTTTAGTTTGAAGAGATAAATATTTTCTATTTTAATCTGAAAACAAATCCTGAAGTCGGCGTAATAATCCAGTTACATTCTCTCGAGACAGTGGTTGCCTAGTATGTAATGAGTTTCTGGTTATTAGGGAAGGATATCATTTGTTGATTTACATATTTATAGTTTTTTATTGTTGAGCACTGTACTGCACTGCACTAACTGGAATGGGCTCTTTCCAGTCGTGAATTGATTAGAATAAACTTCCCCATATCTTTCTAGAATCATCTCCGCTCGTAGAGCAGTGTATGGCAGATAGCATCAGCAACAGTGGGTCTGAAAATGAAGAAGTGGCTGACTAGTAGCCAGCTCGAATTACGAGAAGAATATTAATTTTTTAAAAAAATCTATCAAGCAATAATTTATTAATTTAAAAGTAGACCAAAATGTTTACAAAACCGCTAACAAGAGCGCCTCGATACATACTAATGAAATCGTTCTCTCTAGCAATCGGCCGAAGCTATCTCCATGATCTTTTACACACGTTTTTAAAAAGACTGAAGCTACTATGAGGTGAAATTGCAAATTGCATGTCAAAAGAGCTTCGTTTTCTATAGATAACGGCCAGACATCAAGATTTTTTTACCATATTTCTAAGGATGAAAACTTCATCCCAAAATATCCTGATAACGTTCTTACAGATTCCGTTTTAACTTCACGAACATCGAGGCGACTATAGGAGGAAAAAGCTCCCGTGAACGATTTTGTAGGAACAGTTCCCAGTGCCGAGAAATATTCCTGCAAGTAAAATAGGCAACGGCGTCATTTCGTTGCTATGACAACTCCGATGTCATTAAAGCCCTGCTCATGACAAATTTTCATCTTTATCTAATAAAACTGTGGTGGCAATTTTTCTAAACGTTTGTCTATGGCGACGTATTTATGCTCAAAATTGGGAGATATTGACCCTGAAAAACTGTTACAGTATCGAGCCACCTTCATATGTCAGTACGGCCTATGTTGTTGCATCGTATGGCCCTCGTTTTTTTTCTACTGTTTCGTAAAAATTTGGGCAACTTGCGAGAATTTTTTGGGCAAATGGTTTACCGCCCCCCCTGGCAAAAAATTGACCGTACGCCTATGCACATAAATACGAGAATGTTATGTCCTTTAATTTTTAAATTTTTTTGGCAGTACATACAAAAAGTCATACATACAAACTTATTAACATTCCCATACGGGCTATTCTATGGTAATGTACAAGTTTGTCTTCATCGGAAAGGGAAATTGAAATTGATAAATTTCTCACATAAATAGTGAGGTGCCAAAACATTAAGGCATTTAAATGTTAATAATGTTTTTTTCAAAAGAAGACGTTTTTTTAATGGGGAGCCACTTCAATTCACGTAAAGCCGGAGTAAGGTCATCCAACTTTTGCCTCCCAGTAATAATTCTGGCTGCAAAATTCTGGAGAAGTTGTATTTTCTTGATGTTGCTTTCAGAAGTACTAGACCAAATAACAGAGCAATTGCAATAATCAATCTTGCTCATCACCAGCAGATTAATAATAATTAACAAAGTTACCTGATTGAATACATGTTTAACACGGTTTATCTGGCACAACTTGGTTGTGCATGACGCTGATAACTGTTGTATAGACTCATTAAAGTTAGTACAAGATGCTCTCGAAGTATACACTTAAGCGTCGTTGTATTACGCGTATGTGAGGAGTTTTTGTGTCAGGCACGTGTGACTGCCGCAATGTTGTTCATTTGTTAAGGGCTGGTTGAAATGGGTGTAATAGGAGACGTGGAGCCATAGTGGACGTTGCTTCGTATGTGAATAGCTCGAATTTTTGCTCGGAATTTCTAACGTAAACTGGCTCACCCAATAACGAACGCGAACGACTACCAGAAAATATGTAATGGACTGGGAGCGACCTCTTCATTTCGAGTGGTAAGCGAACGCGCGAGTGCGCGGTGAAGCCGCGAGGGACGGGGGAAACGAAGAGTTCTCACTTTCTTTCTAGCACCTTGCTCTCGAGTGTCCTTTCGCATGCCACTCGCGCGCGACTTCTCTCGATATCCCTTAAATGAAGAGATTGGTCGTAGGCTGTTACGGTTTTCATTGTTGTAAGGCATTGTTGCATCGTCATCATAATGGCTCAGTCGATACAAGCCTACCTATACCCCCAAAAGCATTTGTCAAGAGCTGACATCTCCTTTGGCTCTCGACATCTGAGCAAGAGCAGACAAAATTGCTCACAGTCTCGTTCACAAAAACGCTCGTCTATAGCCAAACCCGTCAATTCCAAACACTTTTGCGAGATTTATGTCCAGTTATTAGAATAAATTATTCCGTTTCTTTGTAAAAAACAACTTCACTCCAAACTGAAAAGCATCCCTGTGATTTTTTAAAATGTTGAAAATGCTTCGCCATAATTTCGTACAATGTTAAACACCGTCACAGAGTCCTGTCGGCTTTCATGACCCACACTGAGGGCCCTACTGAAAACCGCTAAGGCGAGTGGGCTCCCTGGATAAATATTACTCTTATTCTTCTTGTTCGTCTTCTTATTATTGTTATTATTATTACACTCCTTAGATCATTATTATTATTATTATTACACTCATTAGATCTCAATAACACTAACTAACTGATAGAAGTCCTCTAAGACTATTTAACAATTAGTCGTCGAAGGCGACGTGAATATCGGCAAATAGACTATTCGAGGATTGTTTTAGTATAATTACGTTGATGATTATTCGAGAAAATAAAATTATTGATCAATTTTCGACTCCGAAACATCAACAAATCTGGCTGCCATTTTGAAAACTGCTAGCCTTCAATGTTATAATCACCGCGCAGTGATTATAGCGGGATGAAGCGAAGCTCCTAGCCAATCATAGCGCTCTATTTTCGATAATAATCAATGCAATTATACTAAATGAGGTTACTGGTGGTTTTCTTTCCTCAAGGACAAAGCAAACTGTCCGTAATAATGAGGAGTCAGTAAAGCGGGGTTTGACTGTATATTGAATCATACAGAAAAAGGATGCAAATTTCTAAACTAGGTATGTGAAATGGGCACCATTTGTCGATAGAAGACATGCGAAAGGGGTACTTTTGCCGTCAAAAATGGTTTTTAAAAGGGTAAGGGGTTGGACCCTTTCAAAGCGGAGTGTGCCCATATAAAACTTTGTTGAGTATCCCCCTTGGAAAAAATCACTTTGTATCGAAACTACGCACACCACAAAACGTTGTTTATTAACTTCGGTTTGGCAACATTTCTTTACACTTCGCTACATGTCAATCTTAAGTAACATTTTTTGGTCTACCGCAGGGAAATGATGGGATTTCCGCAATTCTCGGCATCACGGCACCATGGAGGGGAGAGTTTTACCCAGTAACGGCTGCCTACAGTTTTAGGAGCCGAAAGATACATTTTAGCAGCAGTTCTACAACGCCGTTCTTTGGAGAAAAGCAATCGCTTTCTGCGATTGCTGTGGTTCTCACACCATTTGTGCATGTCCCTTTCGAATGTGCTATCACATTGCGTCCGCGTCCATCCAAAGCGATTACCCTGTCCGGAAAATAATGATAAAAAATGAACATGAATCTTAATTACCCACTGTTAATAGCCTGTTTTTCATCCGACCTACCCATCGTCTAGATCATTGGCATATAAAGGCGGTTTAGAGAGTCTGTAGCCTGTGCACAGACGTTATTTTTCTTTTCGTTCTTTTCGAAAACATCGGCGAGCTCGCGAGCGAAGCGAAAGCGCGAGTTTCTTCTTCCCCCTCCACTACCCCCTTGCGCTGGCGGTCAATAAATCCCCTGTGGTTTATATTTTATCGCCCGAGCTCAACGGACTTTAAAGAGAAAGTAGAGGGTCTGTGAACAGGCTCGAGAGTCTGCGACGCGGGCTATTTCGTTAATGGATTACCGGGACAGACCTTTCAGCTTTCAACCGAACAAAATTTGGGATATGACGATATTCCTGGTGGGTGACACGTCCAGTTCCTAACCTTGCCCGACACGGCTTAACTTGAGTGGCGCTAGGCTGAACTTGAACGAGTTTCGCGAGGATTATTGCGGAAAATGTAGTTCTAGTTAGTATTTATAAAAAAGGTAATTCTTACACAGAAGTAGCAGAAATCATGTTTGTAACAAGCGGGAGTAAAAGTATTTTTGTAGGGGGCCCGTAAGCCTGCAGGAACACTGCAGCCATTGGTTTTTTGTACAGCCAGTTGAAGACACCTTGGACTCATTTCGTGAGACAAGGACAACGCCACTAAAACTGAGCCAAAAAGGAGCAGAAAAATCTGTGCCATGGCAAAGGCCTGAAAGAAGAACAAAATAATGACATCTTGGTGGCCTCCGTAACAGGCACATGAAAGTCACATGGACTCAAAAATGGAACGGTGCGAGGAAGACACACTTGCGAGGGGAGAGGGCGTGTCTCCCTCGTGCCCCCTTTGTTTTGTTGCGCCCATATTTCGTGCTATACAGTCCAATGACTTGTTTATTGTTGACCACTTTAAGGGTTATGCCTTTCCGGTCCTGAAAGCTATCAAGTACAGTTGTAACATAAATTTTACTTTTTCAGCCCTTAAGGTGGCCAATAGTCAAATTCATTTCCAAGTTTAAATTGTAAAATTTGCAAAAGTACTTCGAGGTGGTTTCATTTGAGAGCTCAGTTTGGTAACCAACATATTAGCCTGCGACCGAGCGGCGAAGGTCTCCGGGGCGGAAATGAAAATTTATGAGAGATCGTTGCAAGCTCACCCATTTTTCCCCGCCCCTCGCACTCGCGTCTCCTTTCGCGTGCTGCTCTCGCGTGACCTCTCGCGACTCCCTCAAATAATGGAGAGCTTGCTCGCTAGCCTGAGATCATACCCTCTCCCTATTATCCATCTGTGTTTCTCACGGAAAGAGGGCAGTTATTTTTCTTTCCTCTCGCCTCGTCCGCCCCCAAAAAAAACAAAACAAAACAAAAAACGCCTGATCGCAGGTTACTTGCTCGCACGCTACCAACATATGGGGCTCGAGCTAATTATCAGTAAATGGTTCTAACATAATAGTCTCTCTTGAAGTTAAAACATAAGGAACGTACGCTTTGTTACCCTAGAGAACTAATAACAGCTTAGAGAAGTTAGTACCCACCGGTCGAAAGTTTATCTGTCAGTTTATGTTCGAATTTGAATATTTAATACTCTAAGATTTAAAATTGTATGATTATTTCTTTAAAAATACCCATGTATTAAGACATAAAAAATAAACAAGGGAAGCCAACAGATATTTATATAAGGGAAGACAAATTGAGTTGTTTTCATAAAAGAAAAGATCAGGCATGGTTCAGCTGGTCCGAGATTAATTTTGTGATGTTGTATCCAACGTACACAATGCTTAAATTGATGCCAATTGATCTGAAAGCCATCTCATCCGATTCATTGACATAAAAAAAGACTTTTTCCATCAGATTTTTGCAATGCACAGAGTTACAAAATCTTTTTATATAAAAAAAATAAACAAAGAAAGAAAAACTTTTAAAAAGAGCAAAGCCGTTTCTTTCCCAAAAGTTGGTATAGTGGAGTGCCAGATTGTTAACTGAGCTTCCTTTTGAAACTATTGGTTTTCTTTATGGGTTAAACGTAGAAACGTAACTCACCCTCACTGCGTGCAAAACACTTTGGTTTTAAGAAATGTGCGACGTTGAACGTTTCAAAGACAGATTGAGGTCAGGCAGCCTTAGCCGGTTGTAGATATAGTACATATAATGAAAAATGAAATTGCTTAGGGATTTATTCTTTGGACTCTAATATAAATACCAGCAATTAAAGGGTAAAAAAATCATTATTACTTTAACCAAGATAAGATTACAACTCTCTGCGATAGTATCAAAGTAAACAGCATGACTTTGAGAACAAATCTTAAATTTTTATTTCAAGGTCTTTTCTGTCAAAGAACTTGCTCTCTTTCTCCGGGCTTTCATGACAGACTGAGCACATTGATATTTTTCATAAAGGCAAGATTAGAACTCTCGGCAACAACAACGAAGTAATAAATATAGCATCAATATAGTCTTACTTCAATACCTTTTTTTAAAGAAATGAAATCGCCCTCCCTGTCTCTTTAACGATTTGGCTCATTAAGAAGAATGGAGGAGTTTCTGGTTCCCTGTGTGAGTTTCTTGACTGTAAGGGCGCTAACACAGTGGGGCTATCTCTTTCGCGGCATAAAGAACCAATGAATTTGGTTATCTACTGTTTGATTAAGAAATATCAGCAGCAGTAATAATCAATCACTTTTTCGCTGTTCTTCAGACAAACGCAGTAACATTATTATTGGCTAGCGCTCCGTCCTACTAACTGATTACTTGCAGCCTAGCAGCCCATTCTCTTGCTGCTCAATTTATTCTATCTCTCCGGGGCCTTTCCTGCTCTTCAACAGATTTCTTTTTATTAGCAGTCATTATAAAAAAAGAAGTATTTTTTGAACTGAGGTTGTGATAATAATCTTATAGCTTAATTGGTTATTATACGTTCTAATGGAAATCACCTAAGAACATCGCATTTCAGGGGGAATTGGCTTCACCTTTTGATTTAAACTGAAGACGTTTGGAGAGTCTAGTGGAGTTTTAATTCCTTGGTTTAAGAGGGTCCTTTCGCAGTCGATCCAAAGCTTTGGCATATGGACTTAACTTTGTCACCTTACATCGATAAACCCTATGCAAAAACAAAATTCCACTTGTAATTAACACAACAAGTACAGTCTCGAATTCGTCTTTACTTACGATTCACTAAAACAAAATTACAGTAAAATAAAATAAAAAATACAGAATTAATTAACAGGAACTGAAAACTTGCCAAAAACCACTTAAAGTACCACAAATGAATAAGAAAACGAGCAAACAAACACGGGAAAAATTATACTTACAAGATCTGTACGGCACCTTCGGAGGCACCTAGACGACTGATTAACATGGCAAAAAAATTCTTACACTAAACCAAGTTCTCTTGACTAAACTGAACAAACAACAATAGCTTGACCTAATGAACTTACGAAACTTGACAGTAAACGGTTACGCAACGCGACGAAAAGAATAAAGTAACAGAAAAACATTACGCATATGGAAAAGGCTAACAAAAATCAACACCGCGGTACGCGATAACAAAAATACTAATTAAACTAAAAGAAGTCCAAAGACTACTGCAAAGCTGATCAGAACAACATGTATTGTTTTTTCATAACAATATTTCGGCTGGCCATACCAGCCTTCTTCAGGTTTACAGAGGTTACACTGTAAACATGAAGAAAGCTGGTATGGCTTCTTAATATTTAGCTGATTAGATCTCTCTTGTAGAGATTCAACGTTTATAACCAGCAGGATCTTCGTCCACGCTTTTTGCACTTATTTTAATTAAACTAATTAATTTCATGCAACACAAAATACGAAATAAAGAATAATGAAATTCCGCAATCTCTCGTGGCTACACCACAGATTCGAATTCGAAAGTTATGCGCTAAGGTAATGCAGTGTAGTAAGTGACTGATAGCGGAGCTCCACGCGTGAGCGAAGCGTTATAGCTGAGAAAAGTTGGTTGTCAGTCCATCCGAGAAATTTTTGATAGTCACGTGACCGAACGTCCGGTTCGTCCACCCATCCGTCCACAACACAGGGCAAACAATTTATAATCTCACACTTTCTACTTGGTGTTTGGAGCCTGAAAACTAATATTGCACGACCATTTCGTGCCCATCGAGGTTGGGTGGGTTTTTTGAAGTTATCCGCTGGCAAACGGATTTTGTAGCAGGCTCAACTCCAAGTAAATTTCTTTGCAATGGTTACAACTTTATAACAATACCAATTACCTGCACTGAAGCACACGTACAAACTCCGCTTCATCGCCATTACCTTACGCATGCGAACAACCATATCACCCCGGCAGTGGCAGCTTTTTTTTATAAAAACCTACGCTTTCATGAAGCAGTATGGCCTGTGACGGTCGAAATGTATCAAAAATACGAATTATAATCTTTATTCTGCAATTTCATGTCGTCTCTTTCACATTCAATAATGCCAATGTATTAAGTAATGTACTGAATCCGAACAGAAATAAACTGTACATACACGAAGACCAGCTACAAGGATTCAGGTCACTTTCAGGATCAAACAAAGTCGGAGACAACAGGATTCTTTAAATAATAACACGCAATTTTTTCAATTAATATTTTTAGGAAGCGTATTTTTGTAAATTTTATTCTCTGCAAATATTCTTTTTGCATTAAGTATTTAGGTTGATAGTATTTTAATCAAATAGTTAGTTTGATGGTATTTTATTAGTGTCCCATACTAGTAGGCCTTACTAGGCCAGCTAGGAGACCAGACACAAAAATAAAGTTCATCATCATCAACAAGATCACAGTCAACAAGACCCGGCGTAGTTATCTGAGGGTTACAACTGAGCCCCGCTGCATTGTACACTAATACAATGATGGATGTTGGTGATCAATGCGGGGTTCGTGGAGGGGCTTGTTTGTTTTCAGTACAGTATTGGCCTGAATTCACGTTGTCGCGATCTGAACTAAACGAAACTTGATCTTTTTTGTTGGCTAGGTTCAACTTGAAAATTTGAGGGAGTTTCAGTACCAAAATCTTCTGGGAAAATCCACTTTTGACCACAAAACAAACAATAGGCCCTTTGCAGCTAGCCATTCACGTGGTACAAAACCGCCAAGCTGGGGAGCAAAAGTCGCACTGGGACAAGACAAAAAAAGACATACATAATTTTAAATGGTAATTTTCTTTGTTTGTCTTTTCCCAGTGCGACTTTTGCTCTCCAGCACGGCGGTTTTGTACCACGTGAATGGCTAGCTGCAAAGAGCCTATTCTGCACTGGCCGTAAAGTGACAAATATAAATGGGGTCAGCTAACGCCCTTCCCAGCCATGGACCTGGGAACGAGAAAACTTCCCGGCGGTAGGGAAACCCCCAGGAAGCCCCTAGGGGAAGTCCCCGGATCATCATTCTGGGCGCCATCTTCGACTCAAACTGCGAATTGCAAGGAATTGCGACGGTGTTCTTAAGAAAAATGAACCTCAGGAGACGCTGAAAAGTCTGTTCTCTTGCCTGGGAAGCAGCGTTAAAGATACTTAATCACGGTAAGCGAGTAAATCGTAAAATGTCAGTCGCTGAAACGTTATAAAACGAGTAATAGAGTACCGAAGTG